TGAGCAAGCTCAACGAATCAAAAGGTAACATTTTCAAACATCATAGTCTTAAAACGGTTAGACAACCCAAACAAACAAAAGAAGACGGAACAAACGAACAAACAAATACCTTCAGAGGTATTATTGTGATCGGACTCGTGTAGAATGGTGACAAGCCTGTATATACATGAATCTCATTTGCAAGAGCACCATTAAAAGCGCGGGATGTATGCGATTTATCTCCAACACACAACATCTTCATTCAGACAGATGGGTAAACAAAACAGTCTAAAAACTGAAGAAAACCCAAGTTTAAGAGTGAAATGGTTTTGACGAGAATACAATGACTACAACATCACCATATTTCGAGATCGAGGGTTAAAAGTAATACACGTAGTGAGTGTAAGACTCACTCAAGACAAATAGTCTTGTGTAAGTCTTATAACTGGTGGCAGCGGTGGGATTCGAACCCACGCCATCGAAAATTAAAACCTTACATTAGTTTAAATGAAGGACATTGATGGAGCACTTTGATAACAAATTATATCCTTTTCTATCATTGAAATGGAATATTGAGCAGTTTAATATGATAAGAATAATTTCAGCATCGTTTTCAATATTCTCTGCCAGGATGGGGATATCAGTTTAGGACAAAATTGTTTTTACATCACTGTTGATTATGATTACAATACATTTCGAAAAGAACGTGTAAATTCGATGAAATAAAATGGTAAAGTAGTCGCTTTATGCAGCGCGAGTTTTATTTCATTTTCCACATAATATAAATATTCAATGACAGAATAATCATAATGATAATCATGATGATATAACAGAAAATTAGCACTTGAATATCTTTATTTACAAAAGCACAGAACGAAAGAAAACAAACTGAAAAATGTAAGAAAGAAAAAGAGACGATAATCTGTTTCTGAAAGAAATCTTTGATTATGAGCGTCGACATGTATAGTTATCACTTTCTTTATATTCGTCGAGTGATTTTTATTTTTTTTGGAGCTTAATCTATACTAAAGTTTTCTTAAAGTTTTCTAATACTTTTTTCATAACTTTTATTTTCTTTTCAGATATTATTAGCATGTTTTATACACCATAATACAAGCAATTTAGGAAACCGCCTAAGGGAATTTTGCACCCAAAGTAGTACGAGTCATTTAAAAAAGTTATTCATAGATAAAAAATAAATGTACCACCTACAACGTGTCCTTGCACTTGACATTGTCTTCTTTCTTATACCTTGTCTTACCTCAGACTCTGTCACTGACTCATAAATATCTGAATATCTCGAGATCTGTTTGCGTTTGAGAACTCTTTGTGACAAATGTGAGCACTTTGAATAACATTGGATGATAAAAAGCGCCATTTTTGTCTCCATGTCATCCGCGATGACAAAAGGAGGTGTATGCTTTCAAGGATAGCGCGCTCCCTAAGGTTGGGCTTGCGTTGCCAATTTAAAGACAGGGCAAGCATACAGACTACTTTTACTTCCGTCAAAAAGCTTGCTTGTGTTGAAATGTGGTGGTTATGATTATTTTTTTTCTAGAGAGAGAGAGAGAGAGAGTATGACCTTAGTATGAACTGTGATCAACACGAGTCGAGAATATATCCGCTTCTTTCCTCAGAAAACTAGCGTGAAAGATGATGTGTGGAAATATTTATTAATGATATATGTCCTTTTCTCCTTAGACATAACACGAGTAGTGGAAAGACAGTCAGAGAGAGAGAAAGAGAGAGAGAGGGAGGGAGGGAGGGAGAGAGAGAGAGGATGGGAAAGGGCAAAAGCGCAGAATTGGGTATTTACTAATTAGCGCTAGCATCCTGCGTAAGCCGTATAATCACTACATACGAGCTCATGGGATTTTCAGAGTGTGCTACCCCGACAAAGTTGGGGCAACGAGCTTACTACATCCCGCTACAACACTAACCTGCTTTTCCAAAAGCATACGATACATGTATACGTGTGCAATAATGACTCGAAGCAGTACTGTTCTATTTTTGTTTTCCATTAATCCCATAGAAATAACGTCATTGCTTTTTGTGCTCAGTTGTATACGTGATACATATTTTGTTGTTAAAAATCAACATTATGTCATCTTTTTTTTTTAAATATCATGTTGTATTTTAGTCATTGTTGGGGCGTAATCTCCCTTTTCCTAATAAATAATATTGTACAATATTGAAACAGTCAGACAGTGATCATTTTCCCCAAACGAGATGATATTGAGATGCGATTTTTTTTTCTACAGCCCCCTTGCATTAAATCATCAAATGATGAAGATATTACGTTTCAAATAATGCGGGTAAAATAGAAGGAAAATAAAGGAGAGCAGTGGTAATATAAGTTTACACACACCATCAAAAAATTATATGCACTGACTTGCCAGGATTCGTTTTTTCTTGAAATATATCCTGTTCCGAACCATGGGGCGTACATTCAACAAATAATTACAAAGTAGAGAGCGTGAATTGAAAACATGAACAAAATAATAACGTTTGAAAATATTCAAGGAGAGATGAAAGAAGACTGAGGTCGGGCATGTAAATACACAACACAGTCATCTCAAATATTTTTCTTGACATCTTCGGGCTCACTCAGCCACTCAGTTACGGAGTTTCCCGAAGTCCGTCGAAACGTAAATAACTGATCTCTCGATCGATATTATCTATTTGTGATTTATGCACAGACGATGAGGGACTTTTGCCTTGGTTGTCTGACTGACGATTATTCATCGCTTCTCAGTTTACGCTTCCAGAGAAAGAAGAAGAAGAGTTTGTGTGTGTGCGAGAGGGAGAGAGAAAGAGATAGATAGAGAGAGAGAGAGAGAGAAAGAGAGAATGAGAGAGAAAGGAGAGTAGAGACCCGAGGGGGTTCTCCAACTAAAGCACTCAATTATAGGACAGACTGCTTGTATATTGTAAAGATTCAAGATGATGACGAAAATGAAAACAAACACTAATATTCTATTTGAAAGAGATGGAGAGAGAGAGAGAGAGAGAGAGAGAGATGGGGAGGGAGGGGGAGGAAGGAAGGGAGATAATATACAGTAAAATAAAGACTGAAAAAATACGATGATGAAAAGAAGAAGAAGTAGAAGAAGAAGAGGAAGAAGAAGAAGAGAGAAACGAAAATAAACACACTAAGAAAGCGAACCAACCTCTCCGTCACACAAGCAACACCTTTACCTCTAAAGAAAAAAAGAAGGAAAAGCGCAAAAAGAGTGACCCAAAAGAAAGTAGACAAATTTTATGCGGAGGGATATCGTTGGATATCGGAGCTGGCACAAATTAGCGAGCGTACTTTACGGTAGATTAGGACGGACCGGATCAAGGATCAAATATAAATTCCCTCTACTCCTCCTCCATTATTTTTCCTCCTTTAGGTAAGGATTTTTTTTCTCTCTCTTTCTTCAATATTTTCATCGCAACCCCCAGATGACCTGAATTTATTGGGCGGTGGAAGGAATGGGGATGGGGGATGGAGGGAAAGAGAGTGGAACGTGTCACAGAGAGAGAGAGAGAGAGAGAAAGAGAGAAAGAAAGAAAGAAAGGGGGATGTCGAAAAAAACTTCGGAATTTATTACTCAAGACTTAAACAAATCATGCTTAAAGTAGAGAATATATAATTGGGTCTAGAAAAAACAAACACACAAAAACAGACACAGAAAGAACCAAATAAACTTTTGCAAAATCCATACAAATGGACAGCAGAAAGAATGAAAGAACGGGGTAAAGGGGGAAAAAAGTAAAAAGACTTTTTCAAATTCGAAAGGGATTCGTTAAAATGTACAGTGCGATGGAACCAGGAGTGAGAATGGGAAAGAATTAAATAGGATAGGGAGAGAGAGAGAGAGAGAGAGGAGGGGGGGGGGGGTAGATGATGACAAGAACGAAAACTATTTCCCTTTCTTTCCACCTCTCTGCCTTTTAAATCTCCATATGTCATCACTAAAGGGTCACCCTTTACACCTGTACTCCTTAGCGACAAACAATGGAACATGTTGTGCTCCAGTGGGAATACTTGGAAGAAAAAGTGCACCGTTACCTTATACCAAATAACCCCTCCCCTCCCTCTTCAAGAGCACCCAGTTTTTAAATTTCCATATCCATTTCTTGAAAGGTGATCTTGAGCTATGACGATGAAATTACGTTTGGAGAACAGGCACAAAGTTATCGTGACCAATTAAAAAAAAAACATTTATTTTGTCTCATTTATTTATTTATCAATTTCTTTACTTAATATCATTAATATAAATATCATTTTTATGATTAATTTTATTATTATCACTATATTGCACAAGAGGGTTCCATGTCAAATCAGTATCTGAGTGATAGAATCAGAAAGCTTCCAATTATACGTAGTTCTATTACCACATTTTTAGCTGCCAATGCATAATTTCGCTGTTAACTTTTTATTGGATATTCATATTTTTTTAATCATCATCACACACTGGTGATATTTTCTGAGAAATACTGAAATGACTCAGAAAATAGTTGAATATAGAGTACGTGTGCCATCATCCGATTTGTCGTTTGTATTTTATAAAAGGGAAATTATCATAGGAAAATCAATCACACCGGCGATTGCAATCTGGTTAGTCCTTCATTTTTAGGAATTTATTCATGTCATTATTTATTGCATATAACAGAATCGCTACCTATTGTAAATGATGTATAAGCAACAACATCAAATTAACCTCACGAAAGTATAATTATATTGATCCATTCTCCACCCCTATGAAATACACAACATGACAACGTTGTCTGCCTCCTCCCCCAACACACAAAAATAAAATAATAATAATAATAAAAAAAGTAACAATGTGGTAAATACATAAAGACCTATATAAGAATGCTTAAACTTATTAAAGAAGGTGATTTTCATGTGTTTGTCTTTAATTTGATTTACTTTCTCGAAGTACACACTAAATAATTTTTCATATTAACTATATAATGATTGTGATATATTCATAGCCTTAAGTTTTCGATGCCGATTATCTATTCGACAGATAAAAACTGTGCCAACGACGACAACGTCGATATCGACGAAGATGACGATAGTAAGAAGCGAAGACAGCGTCGACAGCGTACTCATTTTACCAGCCAACAGTTACAGGAGTTGGAAGCAAATTTCGCCAGGAATCGCTACCCTGACATGTCAACAAGAGAAGAGATTGCAGCCTGGACTAACCTCACAGAACCTCGAGTTAGGGTAAGTTAGTCTGTTTGTCTTTTTTTCTTTTTTTCTTTTTGTCTGTTTGTTGAATTCAGAATCTCGAGTTAGGGCAAGTCAGTCTGTCTGTTTGATTGATTATTTGTCTGTATGTCTGTTCGTACGTTTATCTGTTTGTTGAGTTCACAATCTTGAGCAACGTGATTTTATTTTTATTCGTTTAATTATTGTCTTTTTTAATGTTTATGGGGTTGGGACAAATTAGTATGCCTACACTTTATTTTTGTATTTACATGATTGTATTCATTACTTATAATGTTTTTTCTAGCTGTCTTTTGTCTGCTTTCGTATTTTTTTCCTGTTTGAATATCTGCTCGAGTTTTGTTAGCATTTGAACAGGCATTGTTTTCCCTTTTTCCTTTTTAAACATAGTTTAATGTATGATAAACAAAAAACTATGGAAAGATCCAAAAGATCTTTCAGAATACGTTTACTCCTCATAGCGCAATGTGATACGTGCTAAAAGGTTGTTATATTTCGTGGTTCACGTCTATGCTCATATACTTTAATGCGCAGACATTTAGACGGACCATCGCACTATATACCGTCTCAATTTCGTCAAAATAACTAACACTCTTCGTCAACATTAGATAGAAATGACACTCAATGCAAATAAAAACGTATAGTTTCCACATAAAAACGCTCTTCAATATACCATTTATCCAGGATTCTATCACCTCCTCTAGGATACAATCGTATTATCTCTTTTGCCAGCATCGCATCATAATATTTCTTCAATAAAACTGTGAGCAATAATCATACCCTTTATAGTGCATTCCTATATTATGATAGGTACTTCGCGGCTACGTCAATATTCCAAAATGACAAGTCCAATTTACCCATGTTTAGACGGGTTTATTGCAATTTCGTATGTTATACAATCGACACTCTGCGGGTTCCTCGTATACTCTTACATGTGTAAAAAAAAAAAAATATATATAGAAACATATAAAGACAAACAAAAACATTAATAAAATGAGAGCGATAAGAAGTGGTTCAATAAAACTCTTAAGTATTGTATGTAGACCTTTTCAGACTATATGAACAGACAAACTCGTTTTCTTTAAATGATAAGTATGCGCAACTATCTCTTTGACAACCAGCCTCCTTGTTTTCCGACAGGTCCGTTCACATAATTCAGAGAGAAATCATAAAACTATTAACTTCACAGATGCACTCTGTGATTACAAGCCCGTATACTTTTGTTCGAATTTCAAAACAAATTTACGTCATTTCACATTTTTGTTGAGTTTTTTTTTCAATGGAAAACGATTAAGCGGTGCTCCTGTCAAATTATCGTAAACAGGTAAATACATATCAATGTATTAGTGGTCATCTTTTTAAAAAGATAAAATTTCGTTGATTTAAAATCGTTATATTTGCATCTTCAATGACAATGACCTTGAACGAGGATGGTAATCTGAGCCAAGTTTTCTTCGCCTACCTAAGGAAGTGGATACACACGTAGCTTTATCCAGAGAGGAAGCCGCGGCTTGCTGTCGGAAAATACGTGATTCAATTGTGTTCTTAGGTATCAAGCCGTCAAGGTATTGTGGAATTGCAAGGTCAATGAGAGATATTTTTTCCGACCCGTGTTTAAGGAAAGTAGCATTGTCAGAGTGAAGAGATATCCACAGAGAGAAAAAGATGACATGCATTTGAATGCAGGTTGCAACGTCAACAAATATAAGAGGTCATTGGAAAAATGTAAAGTACAATAAACCACGAGAACTTTTCGGGAAAAACGTGATCAAAAATAGAATTCTTTCATATTTGATGAATTGTGATTATTTTCCCCTTATGTTTATTCTTCTACATTTGATGAGAAAAATAACAATTTGCGCAAAAGAAACACGATAATGTCAGAAGCAAGAGGTGCGACTATAAGATTTAAAATGAGGACGTGACGAGTATTTATTTAGACGCAAAGAAGAGAGAAATTTAATTTGATGACTAGTAATAGTTGCATGAAATTAAAAGGTGTAAGAAATAGGAAATTAAGCAGGGCACAATTAAGGTCTGCTTAATTATTTAAAGAGTAAGATATTTCTCTTTACCTGTAAAAGTAACATCGGGTGTGATGCATATTTCTATTTAATAATCTTTTTGATGCGGAAGAAAATTCTTTAAAAAAAATGAATGTGTATTTATGGCAATAATGTGGTATATACTGCGTTGAAATCATTGCAATATTAGCTTTCTATTGAAATGGGCTTTTCTTTAAACAAAAAATACAGCAAATGGTATAGTTTAGAAGGAGAGATTGTTTCGTTTTGTAATGAATTGGAAAAATTTGTATTTATCCTGTTTCCAGTATTGTTTAAATCGGGCTGCGATGGCATTTTCCCAACCTACGGTATGCACGGGCTCCGATCCTTCACTTTCTTCTTACATTTTTTTCTGATTCTTTCTTTCTATGTCTCTTCCCGTCTTTCTTTCTCCTTCCCTCTTTCAGTCTCTCCCTATAATTCTCGATATATCTCTCTGTCACTCTTTCTCTCTCTCTCTCTCTCTCTTACCCTCCCACCCATGACATGTCTGTCTCTCACATGCACAAACTAAAGAAAATAATATCACCATTTAAAAAAAATACTTTCATATATATTTGATTGATGGTAGCGTACATCCAAGCCAGCCATAGAATCGTTGCAATTGATACGGTTATTTTGAATGATAAATACATGGGATTAGCGTTAAAAAGCAAACATAAAGGCGTCTCCGATCTATCAATCACGAAATGACAGACCAAGTTGTCAAACCAGATCAAAGCTTTGATAAGTTGTCTTTCTCTGCCCGTCTTGAGATTCATCTTGGGAAGCAATTTTCTCTTTACCAAAGTCTTATTTTTGTCTGTGTTTATCCTTCTTTTTTCTTCTTTCTTTTTTGCATTATACAACCTCAGCAGTAGTTGGTTAGTAACAACTTCTAAAACGCAGAAAGATATTGTGAAATCGCTGGAAAACATAATATCTTTCTTTGAAAAATAATACATCTTTCTATTAAAATTGTAAGATATAATCTGATAATAGACCGAATTCCAAGCTGTCACTTCCAGGCTTTAAAGACCGTCAATACTACTGGGCCAGAAGGGATTAGACCACAAAGCGAGGTCACTGACAGGTGGCTATCTCATTAACTCAGCTCTCAATTAACATAAGAAAAAGAGAATCATGGTAGACCAACAGGCACCGATTGGGGAAGTTTTCTATATAGAGGGAGCAAGTAGCTACAAGTAGGACAGAGGGGCTTTAAGTAGACCAAGCGTTCATAGATTTAATATTCAAAGAGCGCGATTAGATCATGTTAATTTTTTAATCATTTTGTTAGTAAAATAGGCGTAAAGTGTTAAATTTGCAATCATATTTTCAAAAGTTATATTTCTTCTGTTTAATAGTAAGTGTATGATTTGTAATTCTCAACATAGTTTAGATAATAAACATTAATTATATGCAAAGAAAATGAGAGAAATTGTACTAATCATTTTTATACCAGATATTTTTGGAAAGAAAATTAACTTCAATCCTCAAGACTTTCTAGTGGAGGGTTTGTATCTAGGCCGCCCTCCTCCTTGTGATTATTCCGCTGGAATATAATCCAAGGGTAGAGAAAGATTATAAAACTACCCTCGTATTCTCAGTATTATTTGTTCCCCCTGAAGGCCCAGAGGTATAGCGTGGGGTCCAGACATGAGGGGGCACAGACATCATGAGGGAGGGGGGGGGGCACACGTGGCTTACTGGTTGGATGAGTTGAACATTAAGTAGGGTATTTGTGAGAGAGGAGAAGTTGTGAGAGAGGGCCGTAGTGTTTCCTTTCATGCTCCCGCCCCCTCTCCTTTCCCCTCTCTTTTCCCCTTTCTTTTTTCTTTCTTTCCCCCTTTTCGCCCTTTGATTGAGGGAAAATCACAAAATAAAAACAAGTTGAAAAACGAAACAACAATAAAAAAAAAAAAAGAAAGAAGCAAACTGTTTGTTCTATTCGTTACTTACTGATTTTTTTTCCTATGGAATATTTTGTAATTTTGTAATCGTCCTCCCTAGTTTGTCTGAAGGAAATTAATGAGCCATATTATTTCCAAACAAAATATGTTCACAGTGCCTTTCAGCAGAGATGGGATATCTGTTCTTGTAAATGCATACATGTACCTGTGCATGTTTCGATGCATGCAAGCATCTTCGTGGAGACCAAACATTGGTCCATATTCTCATGCATCACTGCAATCTCATCTGAATTCCTAGCTCTTAAATCAACGAATGGGTCATGCTATATATTATGGCTAATGGACCCACTACATCAATTCCCTCCCAAATTAGATATATACGTGTGTAGCATCTTATACCACAAACATTGTAAAACAGATTCGAAGATGTATACTAGGCTGACCAATCATGCCAAATGTATTGGCGGATTGTGTGAGGACCCGTTTTGTAAAACAGAAGTCTTCTGAGGAACGGGAAGACGAGCAGATTCCTAGACTGATCATGGTGATATGGCTTAACATTTTTTAACATTTGTGCATGGCTAGGGGGGGGGGGGGGGTTCCCTGTTGTTGCTCTAGTGCTAAAATCAGACAAACAAACACAAACACGAAGAATCATAATACACATGCTTTTTTTATGGCGGCATTATCCAAAAATAAGGCGCAGGAACAGATGTGTGTGTGCGGGTGCACGTGCGTGTGGGCGTGCGTGGGTGCGGGTTGTTATACAAGAATGTCCTACTCCTTATGAAGATGGGGACCATTATCAAGAAAAAAATGTCACCACCTTCATAATAACCACTTAATGTATAATGTGTCAATTATTGTTATGTTACTTACTCTCAACAACTGCATAATGTAATTAAAAATTTCGTATTGATTTATCTTCTCAAAAATAAGATTTTCATGGGTTTGTAAAGGTCTATCTGAGGCATTCTTTTACCACAGCAATATGATCTATACAAAAGGTAACACAGACCGATTCCAATAATTGTATTTC